TTGCACTGCCAGCGATCAGCTCGGGCATCTTTGGTTTCCCTGTTGACCTCTGTGCTGAGACCATAGCCCAGGCAGTTCGGGAGCACTGTGACAGCCCACAAGGTCTGAGATCATTAACTGAGATTCACCTGGTGGACAACAACGATAGCACCATCAGAGTCATGGCTACAGCTGTGAGCAAGGAGTTCTCAGACCTCGGACCTACCATGACCATCCCACAGCAAGCAGGCGGGAAACGAACAGGAGCTTCAGGGTAATTTTTTTTAACCATTTTTAATAATGAACTTTTACTGTAAACATCTTAACATTGATACTCATCAAGCTCATGATCACAGGTAACAATATCCAGCTCCATGTAACGTCCTTATTTGGATTTTGTCTGTTGTATAACTGTATAAGCACTTCTGTATACCTGACAGCATGGAGGTAATCTATATCCACAATCCCCCAAAATAAAACTATTTCTTTAAATCTTTTCAGTAAACTTTGTTGATGCTGAGCTAGTTGAGAAAGATTATATCAATTTATTGGTCAGATTTATGGTTTATGGCTTCCTAAGCCACAAAGATGGCTGAGCAGCTATTATTAACTTTAAATGGCTGCTTAAGTATTCAGTCAAATTGGAGTCATTTGGAAAGTATTTAAAATTGTCATTACTTCCTAGTGGACATAAGCGGGGTCGAGGCAGAGGCAGAGGTCAGAACCAATCACATGATGCCAGCTGGTGTAATGAAAAACGAGAAGAAGGAAGAGGCGGTGGAAGAGGCGGTGGAAGAGGAGGTGGAAGGGGAGGAAATCATCACGGTAACAGGGGAGGCCAGAGCCCCAAGCAGCAAATCAGCCATAGAGAGCATGGAGGGTAAGGTGGTTCCCCTTCTATTTCTTTGGTTTTATCACACTCTTGATGACCTCATGTCCATGAGGCCTCTTTGATATCATCAGTCCTGTTATCTGATTGGATGCAGGTTGGAGCAGACCACAGCTGAGGGGCTGAAGATCATTTTATGTAAGGGAAGCATTCAGGACCAGACTGTGAGTACCTGTGCTGTCATTTGGATCATAGTTTAGAGGATTCTGTAAATGTTCATGTAATTACAACATGAAGGGATAGATTTGGCTTACATACATCTTTAAACCAGGATTAAAAGTAAATTCTGGTTTATGCAGTATTTTTCAATCTGTCGCTGTCTTTTCATGTTTTTGTGGAGTTTCTGTTCTGCTGAACACCACAACAGTGTTCACCACAGGGCCAAATGAGCTTACTACATAAATTCATTGAATGCTGAGTTTACAAAGGAATGCTCATCAAAGACTTTTGTGCATTAGTGCATTGGTAAATACAGCACATTCAAACATCCACTGATTCCAATTTGAAAGCTGCTTTATGTTTTTAATTGACTCGTGTGAAGGTGTCACATGTTTCAAACACGACTCAAACTTTGCTCATTTAACTATAATTTGATTAACATGTCAAAAT